TCGAGGAAAAAGGAAATAGTCGCTGGGGGCCAGGTCTGATGAATAAGGGGGATGCGGGACCAATTCATAGCGCAATTTCTTTAATTTATCGGTCGTATCGCGAGCCGAGTGAGTTGGAGCATTGTCTGGGTGAAACAAAATTTTTCTCTTTGCCAAATGTGGCCGTTTGACCTTGACCTCGTCGTCCAATCGATCCAGTAATGTACAGTAATATTCTTTATTGATAGTTTTACCATGTTCAAGATAATCAATGAATATTATGTTATGCGCATCCCAAAAAATACTGGCCAAAACCTTGCCGGCTGATTGTTGTGTCTTCGGGCGCTTCGGACGGCTTTCACCAGGCAATAACCACTCCGCTGACTGCCGATTGGACTCCGGTGTGTAGTGATGGATCCATGTTTCATCCATTGTGACAAATCGACGCAAAAACTCCTTCTTATTGCGGTTAAACAGGGCCAGATTTTGCTTTGAAAGTCGAACACGTTCCGCTTTTTGCTCAATTGTCAAAAAACGCGGCACTCAACGCGCGCAAAGCTTTTTCATGTGTAAATATTCATGAATGATATGACCAACGCGTTCCTTTGAGATGCCTATGATGTTAGCTAGCTCACTCAATTTCATTTTGCGGTCATTCAACACGATTTCACTGATTTTCTGGATGTTTTCTGGAGTAACTGCCTCATTTGGCCTTCCTGAACGTGGTGCATCATTTGTGCTCGTACGGTTACGACGAAACTCAGCAAACCAATGTTTGATGGTTGAATTCGGTGGGGCAGATGTGCCGTAACATTTATCAAGCTATGCCTTTGCTTCAACAGTGTTTTTTCCCATCAGGAAGCAATGTTTAATCAAAACACGAAATTCACTTTTTTCCATAGTAAAGATAAATTCAGAGGTAACGTCACTTCGAAAGCTATAACTTGTACACGAGTCAACGAAATATCATGAAATTTTTACAGCATCTAAGTTAAGGTTGGTACTCTATAGGAAATATAAGGATTTTTAGTTTATGGCGCCATCTATATGTCAGGCCAAAGACTTTTCAGCCCATGTAGTAAATTGTAACAAGCATTTCATGAGCTTCAATTGCCGATTTTTTCAAATCAAACAAAAAAGTAATGAATGTCGAAAGTGCAATTTTGTACGATCCACTTTAGACGCACATAAACAATGAAACTATCAGTAACAATAGCGCGCAAACTGTCATATGTCATAGAAAAATGTTAAATCTTTCAGTGTTGCCAGATTTCAACATTCGTACTAACTATTAACTTTACTAAAGCCATCTATTGCTAAGGGCCAGAACTAATTCAACCTCCTAATATTATATATTCCTTTCATAAATGTGCCATCTTTGTCCAGTTTTCTCCGATAGGAGCGGTGCTTGACAAAGATCGAACATCTTTCCCGTGGCTGTGGCTTCGCAGCCTTTTGTAGAGCGCTTATGGCAAGTCCATGTTCGAAAGCTGCGTGCTTCGCAGAATCCTCGCAAAAATCAACAGCAGAGCCGCAAAGCTGCGTTCGGATCGCGTAGTATTCGCGAGAGGAGGCGTCGGACATGACGAATATTTACTTTCGAATGCGTAGCTATCAGTATTGCGTGCGTAAGCAGTCTGGTGACTCAGAGTCGCAGGAAATAAGATCCGGGTAGGTGTCGATCGTACGATCGACTCGGCCGATTCAAGGCAAATTTTGGCCGCCACTCGGCTGTATCCGCATTCGGGCCTCGTTGAGACTCGGCTCGGCTACAAGAATATAACGGCCTAATTGCGTCGTTAAGATCATTCTTGAGATAACATTATAATAGTATATAATTACAGCGCTCGATCTGTTCTCGCACGACTAATAACGAAGAGACCAGATCCGTGGGCGCGATACGCGCCGCACGGCGCAACGTATAATTCGCATTATCAAATAGTGATTCCGCCGACTCATCGACGACTTTTTTGGAATTGCGCCCGGCGTTTGTGCGTCCTAAATGCTGAGACCCGCTGCGCTATGATGTGCGCTTACGAAGCGCGAGCGCACGGCTATCTGGCGGTGGGGATCAGTTGAAAGAAGCGAAAGAAAGCTGGACGCGTAGAGAGCCCGGCCCTCCCGATACCCTTTCACGACGTTTAAACTCCGGCGGTTCACAGCAAGATGCCGGATAAGGACCCGTGAAGTGGCCGCGTGAACGTATAATTTGCCGGCGTTTGTTTGTCCCGGTAATTAATGGTGCGCGGTACCCCGTAACATATCAGGTAAAAAGGCCTCTCCGCGCGCGGCGAAGCCGAGCGCGGGCCAAGGGGCGACTGAGTCCTCGTGCGCCATGACAAAGTGGACCTTCCGCGGGAAGTGTGTGTTCTCCGACGGGAGTGACACAAAGGTGCGAAGGACGAGTGCTGGTGAAATGAAGAGGCCACCGGGAGCCAGCAATCTCGCGCGTGCTCCCGTGAGCGCTGCGCGCGCGCGCAGCACAAGTTTACACAATTTCATCGCACCGGCCAGTGTCATAAAGTTTACTGCTCGCGTATTAATACGTCATCGGCCGTGTCCCGATCGTAAAAGCGTAATGAGCAACGCTCGTCGTTTCGTCTAGTTTCACGCTGCGTCATGGGCACAAGCGGGCGCGCCGTCGATAAAAGATTTTTATTTCCCTGGCACCGTTTCGTTTTCTCACTGACGGTGTTATATACGGCCGCACGAACGTGAATTGAATAACGTGCGCAGCCGATCCGAGATCCAGCGGTCACGTGGGATCCCGAAAAATCAGAACCTTCACGTTCGGAAACGGGGGCAGTTCCTTCCGAAGAAATGTCGGAATCTCGAAATTCGGCAACGAGGGCAATCTCCCGAAAGACGATTTTCTCCGAAACGGACTATTGTTCCGAGGAGGCCCAGAATATCGCTCTGAAAATAGCATCGGAGACAGTGTATTAATATCTACAAGCTTGAATACAGTCTCACTGTGCAGCGAGACGATTTTGTTAGCTATTAAAATTAGTTTTCGTCGTTTTCTGCTCGACAAACGCATTTATTTTAATAAGTAAATGAATTAATACACTAATCAAAATATTTTCCACCGTTTTCTATTATTTTTTCCTATCTTTCTGGCAAAAGTTGAATTCCGCGATGATGGAACGAGCTGTCTTTTTAAGCAAGCTATACATCCACTCATTTTCGAATTTCTTCGTAATTGGAGAAGTGTGTTGCATCGATCGAAAATGTGGTAATCCGATGGAGCCAAGTCTGAAGAGTAAGTTGAGTGCGGGAGAAGAATTTCCTATTCGAGTTTCAACAGTGTTTCTTTTATGATTCTTGTAACATCTGGTCGCATATTGTCATGCAAAAGAATCACTTTGTATCGATTACTGGCTGTTGATGGCTTTATTCGCATTAATTTATTGTTCAATTGATACAATTGTTGTTGGCAGCGGTCAGCTGTGATTGTTTCATCCGGTTGCGGTAACTAATAGTAAAGCATGTCTTTCTGGTCCCACCAAACACAGAACAATGCCTTACGACCGTGAATATTTCGTTTTGGCGTTGATGCGGATGGTTGGCCGGGGTCCATTCATGATTTTCTCCGCTTAGAATTATTGAAATAAATTCACTTTTCATCGTCGGTAACAATGTCATAAAAAGTTTTTTTTCAGTCTGGCAAACAAGGAAGTCGCGATGGACAAACAATTCAAGATGACATTTTCGGACAACTCATGTGACAATCATTTTCCTTCCTTTTGGATTCTTTTCGCGACGCATAAACGTTTAGAAAGAGCCACTGGAGTAACATTTAACATTTTTGATATTTTTTTGAGTTGGATTTTCATATAATAATGCTTGCAATTCGGCATTCTAAAACTTTTTGAGCTGTCCGGATCGTTCTTTGTTTTCCACACTGAAATCCATGACCATGTCTGAATCATTTAAACCACTCTCTACATATTCTTTCTGATGGAGTATGTCCATTATAAGTTTTAAAAACTAATCGATGCGCTTCAGCTGTAGCTTTCTTCGGATCAAAGTAGTGAAGAAGTATATGTTGAAAAAACCTCTTATTATGATTTATTCTAAATTGATTAAGAAATATTTCTGCTTTTACAAAAATTAACCTCTGAGCACTGAAATTTATTGTAAGATGTCTAGCTTTCAAAAAACAATCAGCTTTAGCCGTCAAAGCTTACCACTTTTGTAGTTGGAACTATCGTGAGCGGCGGAAATCAAGTTTATTATCTAATAATATTTAGATCAGACGAAATCTAAAACGCGATCGGTGCAGATTGTTTCGGACGGTGTTCCGCAATTGTCACGCATAAGATATTTTGCCAGCTAACTTTGGAAAGTTCGCAAGTAAAAAATCTCGATATAAGCCTCTACATTACTCCCACACGTGCATCTATTTTCCTGGAAGGAAGAGAGGGGAGGGGGAGGGAGGGAGAGGGAGAGAAAGTGTGCGTGTGCGTGTGCGTGTGCATGTGCGTGCGTGCGTGCGCGCGCATGTGTGTGTATGTGTGTGTAAAACAAAGGATTAAAACTACTTTCTAACGGTTAAGTATTTTTTCCGTTTAACATTTCAGTGTTTTTCAGATTATTATATTTTTTTCAGCGAAAGCATTATGTCTTATTGACTGCTGGAAAATATCGTCACTAAGAGACTCTCGAATCTCGGCACTGAAAGAAATTCGAATTGTCTCTCAAGACAATAAACATAATAAACATATCTTCAACATACGTGATACAGACATAGAAACCAAATGTACAAATAAAATAGCGGTAGATGGAGAAATAAAATGTTAACGCGTAAAAAATAAAATTTATGTCTTACGTCTATTCGATGAATTCATTTTTCGATATTTTTCTAATACAAAAAATTTTAATGTGTACCCTTAAGGGGATTTTTCAGGTATTATTATAATGAAAAAATGTAACTCTAACTCAATGCATTTTTTATTTTAAAAAATGTATAATTTATTCATGGAAATAAAACTATATGTGGGGCATTCCATATGAAGTGATACACCCAAATTTTCAAAATTGTACGATTATGCTGAAATTTGCACAAATTGTAGTCCTATCACAACTAAGATTTTTGGCCAAATTGTTTGACTCACGACCAACGGGTTGTCTGGTAACAGAGGCTTGAAGTTTTAGCATTTAGGCCGTTGTGTCCAACTTCAAACGCCGGTAAGTTCCAGTAGACTATTCCGATTTTCAAAAACAAGGAGTGATTTCTAAAGGTCTTTTTGCGCCCTTTAATCCTATGAAATCAGTTTTGTTTTTAAGTCAAAATTTATTTAAAATTTTTGAAGGATAAGAAAGAAATTGTTTTTTCTCAAATTCAGACATTTTTTATTTTCTTCGAAAATATCTTAAAAAAAGTAGAATTCTTGCCCTTTAAAATGATTCCAAGATCAAAATGGGCAGACTTTTAGTTTTCAAGATACAGCTTGTTTTAGGACCGAGCGCGTCACGCACGGTGCAGCTCGGCCGCTGTTGCAAGTGCCACGGATGATCCGATCAGTTCTATTGCTTGTGGCCAGATGTGATGTGATCTGTGTCATATATCATATATATATATACATATATATGATCAAGCCATTTACTATAATATATAAACACCAGCAGCTTCTCTTTGCTAGGCCCATTATCACATCTTGATTAGGGATCACTTTTATTTTTATATCCTTATAACCACCGCGATCTTGCCTCCATTTCCTGGATCAACCACCAATCTTGCTTTCATTTGTCGGATTATCCGCCGATCTTACCTTAGTTGGCTAGACATCTTATCATAAAAACCTCGATAACCTTGAAACGGCTGATCCAAAGTGAATATAATTATAGTATTTTGAAAGGGTCTGAATAAAAGGACTACAAGAATATGCAATAAAAGATGTAGGATTACATTTAAAAAATTCGAGGTAATTTTCACCTGACCTTCGCGACGCAACCCAAGGTCAAACTGATAAAGCTAATAAATAGTTTTAAGTCTTACAACTTTTATCTAAAACATTTTTCTTATAAAACTTATATTTATTATTCTTTTTTATTTTTTTAATTTTTTTAATTTTTTTAATTTTTTTATTTATTTTTTTAATTTTTTTTTATTTTTAAATTTATTCTTTTTATTTTTTTTATATTTTTTTATATATGACACAGATCACATCACGTCTGGCCACAAGCAATAGAACTGATCGGATCATCCGTGGTACTTGCAACAGCGGCCGAGCTGCACCGTGCGTGACGCGCTCGGTCCTAAAACAAGCTGTATCTTGAAAACTAAAAGTCTGCCCATTTTGATCTTGGAATCATTTTAAAGGGCAAGAATTCTACTTTTTTTAAGATATTTTCGAAGAAAATAAAAAATGTCTGAATTTGAGAAAAAACAATTTCTTTCTTATCCTTCAAAAATTTTAAATAAATTTTGACTTAAAAACAAAACTGATTTCATAGGATTAAAGGACGCAAAAAGACCTTTAGAAATCACTCCTTGTTTTTGAAAATCGGAATAGTCTACTGGAGCTTACCGGCGTTTGAAGCTGGACACAACGGTCCAAATGCTAAAACTTCAAGCCTCTGTTACTAGACAACCCGTTGGTTGTGAGTCAAACAATTTGACCAAAAATCTTAGTTGTGATAGGACTACAATTTGTGCAAATTTCAGCATAATCGTACAACTTTGAAAATTTGGGTGCATCGCTTCATATGGAATGCCCCATGTATAATCCCATTAATTCGTAATTGTCTCGTGCATTATGGTTACAATAATATAATGCAAGACTGATATTTTATATGTATGCGGAAGGTTGTTAAGTGGAAAAGAGCAAATTTATCAAATTAATTGTTATGTGAAACTTGTTGCATAAAGTGCAGGAAAAATTTTTTACATTGGTTGCAATTACGAAACCATATTAGTTGTACTGCTGTTGACAATTATTAGCAATGATATATACTTTTATTTTTATCTATTATAATAATGATTTTCAGAAATTCAACCTCTCTTTCTCAAAAGTTCTACCCATATGAAGAATCTGCATTATCATTAACCGGTTCATTATCATTAACCGGTTCATTATCAAGTCGGATAAATTATTCAACTCTTAAAGATAATTAGAAACTTATTACATAAGTTACGTAATCGATAAGCACGTCATCATCCTCGATATTCCTGTATGCTTTAAAAGAACTAAATTTATTTTCGATTGATGTTAAATTTAACCTAGATATACCTAGAACTCTATTTAACTCCTGCATGTTCCTTTCGAATTTAGTATACGACCCGGCAGTTACAAGAAATGGACATGATTCATTCTTTAATTTTGAAATTATTTCCGCTTGTAAATCTAACAAGGAGAGTGTTACAACTGTCCTTCACCGATTTGAATGGGCTTCGGATATGTTGTAGAGCATCAAAAACTAAGGGATACATATTTTTTTATATCGGCTTCGGAGCATGTTTAGGGGGTGAAATCACTCCTTGAAAAAAATAGCCGTTATCGTTTTTATCAAATACTTTCTAAATTATGAGTCATATGAAAAAAAGTTTCAGACAAAAGTTTTGCAATATTTTATGCTCTTTGCAACTATGTGTTCAGTTTTTTAAAATTTCAAATGTTGAACTACTCCCCCCCCTCTCGTTACTCTGGCAAAATTTTTAAGTTTTTGTAAGGACAAAAATTGTAGAGCATTAAATACCAAATTCATCCATATATAATATTAGAAAATGATATTTAATATTTTGGACAAAACGCAATGAGGAAACTTCATGGTATATGTGCCGTGCTGCCCGAGTAGATAGATACTGTAGGTAGATACGCTGTGATATTTCTCTACAATTGCATTATGCTTCACGACTGCTTGTACATATGTTCTTATGCTACAATTAATCATAATAATATGATATTAGTCTCACGATGCTCGATTGTGTTAATGATTTTCTATATGTTAACTTATGAAGTTGTGCACGGAGCTCTGCATGGCAACCTTCATGATTTCGACAAAAACAATAACACTAACAATTAAAAATCATGAACGTTGTCATATAATGTTTCATATGCAACTTCATAAAAGTTAGCGTGTAGAAAATTATTAACACAATCGTGAGACCAGTCCTTTACACAAAATAAACATGTGAGCAGAGATAAATCGCATATATTAGGTGTAGTAAAAAGAAATCCATTATTTTTGCATGAAATTGAAAGCTTTTATTACCATAGTTAGAATGATCCGATTTAGGTCAAATATGCGCCGTTTTGTTCGATACCTTGTTGCCATTTTGAAGGTAATTTCATTATGCCTCTCTCATAGAAACCCTCGTCCCTATTGGCAAAAAATTGAGACAGTCGATTGTCACAAGCCTCTCTTGAAGCGAATTTTTCACCAGCAAAATTGTTCACCATGGACAGGAACAGATGGTAATCACTTGGTGCCAGGTCCGGACTATAAGGTGGATGCATAAGAACTTCCCAACCAAGCTCCCGGAGCTTCTGGCGAGTCACTATCGATGTGTGTGGCCTGGCATTGTTCTGATGGAACACAATTCCTCTCCTATTGGCCAAAGCTGGCCGCTTCTGGGCGATTGCTTCCTTCAGACGGTCCAATTGTTGACAGTACAGTTCCGAGTTAAGAGTTTTGCCGTAGGGGAGCAGCTCATAGTAGATAATTCCCTGCCAATCCCACCAAACACACAGCAAAACCTTCCTGGCCGTCAATCCTGGCTTGGCCACCGTTTCCGCCGGCTCACCGCGATTCGACCACGACCGTTTTCGCTTGACGTTGTCGTAAGTGATCCACTTTTCATCACCAGCGACCAACCGCTTCAGAAATGGGTCGATTTTGTTGCGATTCAGCAGCGATTCGCAGATGGAAATTCGGTCCATGAGGTTTTTTTTCGTTAACTCGTGTGGCACCCATATATCGAGCTTCTTTTTGTATCCAGCCTTATTCAAATGGTTCCAAACGGTTTTTTGTGCAATCTTTAGCTCTTGGGCAATCGAAACAGTGCTTACATGACGGTCGGACTCGACAATGTCCATGATTTTATCGATATTTTCGACAATTGGCCTTCCAGTGCGTGGTGCATCTTTGACATCGAAATTACCGGAACGGAATCGACGAAACCAAAATTGCGAGTGATTGGCTGTTACAGTATCAGGACCATAAACACTATTCACATTTTCAGCCGCCTGGCTTGCGTTTTCGCTTTTATCGAAGAAAAACTGTAAAATATAGCGTATTTTCTTTTTGCTAGTGTCCATCTTTGACGCGCGCTCAAACAAAATTGAGTCAACTAATCACAAAACTGTCAGAAAAGTTTTTTTAGTACGAAATCTCATCTTTCTAACGCCGTCTAATGGTTATTGTTTATTATTGAACCACGTGCTCGATTTCATTGTGATTGTCTGTGTTTGATTCAGTTAATGAACGATTACTTTATTGAAGTTGTTTTTCTTGGCGAATCTGCGTTGCTCCTTATTTTTGTTTAACCTGCAGGTGAATCACGTTTGTCATCGAGGGCGCTGTAGGGTTTTGACTTTTCACACAAAATACTTGCAAATAGCGGGGCTTCGGCGTTTACTGTTGATGAGTAACATTTGTCTCGTCATGAAAACACTCAACTTTCGTTGACCGGATTGGCTGACGGAATATTTTATAAATTTTTCATTGTTACAAATAAGGACTCTATACAGACAAGTTCTGAATAACACAAACTTACATATATGTACGATACAATTATAAAATATGTTATCTCCGCGATTTCCGAATGAACTATCACACAAATGTCACGAATTATAATTTTTATATTTTACTATTATTTTATAATATTAAAAAAAGTCGAAAAATTGCGACTGGAACATACTTATGGATATTTGTAGATTTTAACTATGATTATTGAAAGTAAATAATTGACGCACGATTAACAGCGTATTAGCTCAATTGTCTTTTTATTCTCGTTTGTTTCCTGAATCACATATTTGTGAAATTTATGTTTATACTGCAATTTTACAGAAAAGTCAAAGTGAATAAAGAAGGGCAAGCGCGTTATGCATGAAGTGCATTGAATATTTTAATAATATAACACAAAATTAAAAAAATATTAACTAGATATACTAATATGTTTATTGTAAGACATTATTATGTCTTTTATTTTTTAAATTTTATTTTTAATTTTGTGTCACTTTGTATCACACATTTTTTCCATGATCACCACCTTTGCAACGAATATGTGCCATAAATGTAACATTTATTTTTCGTTTATATGCAAATACTGTATTGATTTGTTTATTACTATTATGAAATACTATTGTGAATATATAATAACGTGTTATTCTTCTATAATTTATTGTATTGTTCCTCTCTATCCTATAAATTATTACTCCATAATTTTTGTTAAGCCCTTTGTTATGTTTCATTCAGCAATTAATAAAATATATTGTATTGTCACACTACACGCTTGCAGAGGTAACATAACGTCGGCCTAATTAGAAAACCTCTTAATTCCAATTTTTGACAAAATTGAGACTCATTTTATTCGATCAA